AGAGGCTTGTGTCGAATGCTCAGGTCACGTGGTTCGTTTTGTTCCTCACTGTACTACTCACTGTCAAGAGCTTTCCCTGTATGCCTGCCGACAGACTGTGTAGAGCCAGTTTGAAGAGAAGAATGATACAAGCTGTGTCATCTACTTGGTCGTAAAAAGTGAAAAAGGAAATGCGTCGTTGGCAAAGTATTTGCTAAAACCTCGGATTTGACCACAGGTATCTGTATATCTGCATCTGCATATTTGTGTGCTTGAAAGAACAATCATGTGGTAGGCCTTAAAGCAACAATCTTTGATTTGCAGTTTATGGCCTGTCATTCTTAGTGGCCGTACCTCTCCAAGCCTAAGAACTTTACATGTGCGCTGAATTCATTAATGACACACATTTGAATGCCTTTCACACTATCGCCGTAGTTGCTCAACCGGGATCCAATGTCTCGACCTCACACATCAACGCACTTGCTTCCCACAGTGAACCCCCTAGTAGACGCCACAGCGAGGATCATGCTTCTCTTCAAACTCACTCCACCTCGTCTGCCGTCGACTGGCCGACCGGGGAAGCGCTTAACAGTGAGCAGTGCAGGGAGGCATAGAACGAGCCACATGATCTTAGCATTCGTCGCTAGCCCTTCCTACCCCAGATGGTGAGACTCTTTAGCTCAATTTGTACGTTCTGCAATATGCTCACTTTCGAGCCACACAGATATTTTCATCTCCGTTGCTTAAGCCGAACTCTGCTTTATAATGCACTAATTGTTTTTTAGCGTCGAAATGAACCACTGGTTTGGTGGTAGTGGTCATGCGCTGATTTCAAATGTAGCCATTCGTCCTTTTGTTCCTGATCCCGTCCAAACCATCAAGGTGTGTAATTTCCTGACATGATACCCGATATGTTGATGAACTGCATTAAGCATATGCTGTGTTTGAGATCCGCTTGCATGTTGATCTTCTGCTGCATCTCCCAAATCGCTTGCTCCAATTCGTGGATTGTATGTAGATGTGGGCCAACAAACAGCAAGAGAATTGACGGCATGGCATGCACATCTTGCGTATTGTACGTCTTCCGGTGTGTCCGCCATTGCCAAGACGATGGTCTGAGTTCTCAGTCGCATAATTTTACTTATCACATTAAACACTAAGGCCGTTCATGTTTTTACATGTGAATTGTCACCACATAAGGCCTAGCTAACCGGCTAAAATATAATGGTCCGCTTCACGTAGCTCATTCCAATACCAACCATAATCCTTTTAGCATCACTGCAAACCTCCCCACTCCCACTCTACTGCCGCACACTGATTTCCACAATGCTGCAATGCAGGTTCGTCAGCAAACCGGCTCGACAAATTGTAATTCTACCACGATATGTCACACCCGGCATGCATCAACGTTCACACTTGATGGCCAGATTGACGAAGCCATGTACAATTTGCCATCGAAATCTCAGAGAAGGGACGAACCACGAGTGGTTTTTTTTAAAGAGGAACCAACTAGGTGACTGGAACAGCGGTTTCTTAGAGATAAACACACCTCTCGTAATGGGCGCAATCAAGTGGCTAGACGCCCAGGTCTCTTCGATAAGCAGGTAAGCAGCTTGCATAAATGTGTAGCTGTAACTGTGCTGTAACTTTAAGAAACCGCTCCGACAAAGCTCAAATACAGCATGCGCTTAATGCAGTTCATCAACATATCGCGTATCATGTCAGGAATTACACATCTTGCTGGGTTGGACAGGGTCAAGAACAGAAAAAATGAATGGCTACATTTTAAGTCAGCGCATAACCACTACCAGCAAACCGGTGATTCTTATCGACGCCAATAAACAATTGGTGCATTATAAAGCAGAGTTTGGCTTAAACACCTGCGATAAAGATTGCTGAAAGGCACAAAAGTGAGCGTGTTGCAGAACGTACAAATTAAGCAAAAAAGTCTCATCGTCAGGGGTAAGAAGGGCTAGCGACGAATGCTATGATCAGGTGATTCGTTTTTTGCCTCTCTGCACTGCTCTCTACCAAGCACTTTATCTGTCGGCCTGTCGACGACAGACGACGTGTGGTGAGTTTACAGAGGAACATGATTCTCGCTGTGGCGTCTACTAGGAGGTTCAATATGGAAAGGAAGTGCTTTGATGGCGATGTGTTTGCTCTGAAATTGCTCTGAATTGGACACAAGTCCACGCATTTTCTACCTCGGTGTCTATTGTAGGGGGCTGGCTATATCTGAATAATTCAATTTGATGCAGCCAGTTCGTAGTGATGATCTGGGATTAGCGTTTGCGCCAATGTGGCGTGAATTGTTAAATTTAGGCAAAATGTGTTGGTCCACGAGGGCGTTAAATAAAGGCGAGGGTATTGTTCACAATCCCGATGTGCACTGGAGGTCTCGATTTGGTTCCAAAATCGTCGGTTAGAGCAAGGCGGCACTAAAGTGAGCGACTTGCTGCTGATACTTCCTCGATGTCAGCGGCGATCATGTCGAAACGAAATGGATCCAAGTAATTGACTCACCCTATTCACGTCCATTCAATGCCTTCAGATCTGTGCATCCCGTATTTGATGACAGAATTTGTTTGGCATCAAGCACTCGCCTATGCGGTCCGAAATAACATTGTCAATGGTTACATTGGCACATAATCTTGGTTACGAAACAAACTTTAACAAGATATTGGAGCCAGTGCAAGCATTTGCTGTCTGTGGTGAAGAGACCATGTGTGACGTGCCTAAAACAAACTGTTCTCTTCTCACATAGAAAACAACCAAACGTGGAATGCCGGTGATTATGAGTAGTTGTGAGTGCAGCAGACTTTACTAACATTTCATTGCATAAGGTGTACAGATTGAATGTCATTGCATTGACGTGGAAAGAGTGGGTTAACTCAAGACATCCAGAAGGTTTTGACATCGTTGACACTGAAATTGCGAAATTGGCAGCATCAAGTGGCTAATTGCTGCGGAAGTCACTGATGTTTGAACAATCTTGGTTTTTTTCGACGAAGCTTGAACCAAGTTTTGACCTACAATGCATTTTGAACTGATATCAATTGTTGCTTCTTTATTATCGGCTTTGCCGAATCCCATTTTTGTGCGATCTTGCATATTCATTAGCCACAATGCTTTTTTCCACCTACAAAATGGTCTGCTTCACCCACAACCAATATCAATGACACTCACAACCATCAAACGAATGCAGTGTAGCGAACATCCAGCCATCGAAATGACACTGGAAGCCAAGCTGCAAATTAACAATCTGTCGCCAGTTGCTTCGTTTGATGTTTTATAGGTGAGCTTACACAAATAACAAATAACCATAAAATGTGGTAAAGTTTTTTGGCTCCATGCCTGTGATTAAGCTGTACGAACCCATTTATCGCTAGCCGTCTCAGGTTGAAGCCCGTAAAATCCTAGCCAACGAGTTCATTTGGCAATCCCGCTGTCATGGGTTGTAGTGGTGCGTTGGCCACGTGAGGTGGAGACTTGACGTC